TTAATAAAGCAAATCTCTCCCGTGAACTGCCAAAATACAGACAGCATGTTACATGTCCCACCAGAGACAGTAATATATTGGATCACTGTTACACAGCAATAAAGAATGCATATCACTCTTTCCTACGGGCAGCTTTGGGGCTCTCTGATCACTGTTTGGTTCATCTTATACCGACCTACAGGCAGAAACTGAAATCAGCTAAACCTATATTAAGGACTGTAAAAATATGGACAAATGAAGCAGAGCAGGATTTACAAGCTTGTTTTGACCTCACTGATTGGAGTGTTTTTGAAGCTGCTGCCACCGATCTGGACGAGCTCACAGAGACTGTAACATCTTATATCAGTTTCTGTGAAGACATGTGCATTCCTACCAGGACTCACCTAACCTACAACAATGACAAACCATGGTTCACTGCAAAACTCAGACAGCTCCCGTCAGGCCAAAGAAGATGCTTGCAGGAATGGGGACAGATTCTTGAATAAACAGGACTACATGGGACTGCATTATGTTCTGCAACATCAGGGGACTTATGTGAGGATCCTGTTCATGGACTTCAGCTCGGCCTTTAACACTATCATCCCAAACCTCCTCCTGCCCAAACTAACTCAGCTCTCCGTGCCCACCTCCGTCTGTCAGTGGATCAACAGCTTCCTGACAGACAGGCAGCAGCTAGTGAGGCTGGGAAAATACACATCCAGCACCCGTACGATCAGCACTGGAGCTCCTCAGGGTTGTGTTCTCTCTCCACTGCTCTTCTCCCTGTACACCAACGACTGCACATCTAAAGACCCCTCTGTCAAGCTCCTGAAGTTTGCAGACGACACCACACTCATCGGCCTCATTCAGGACGGTGACGAGTCTGCTTACAGACAGGAGGTCGAGCAGCTGGCTGTCTGGTGCAGTCGCAACAACCTGGCGCTCAACACGCTAAAAACTGTGGAGATGACCATGGACTTCAGGAGAAACCCCCCTGCTCTCCCCCCACTCGCCATCATGAATAGTTCTGTGACTGCAGTGGAGTCATTCAGGTTCCTGGGCACCACAATCTCTCAGGACCTGAAGTGGGACACTCACATTGACTCCATTGTTAAAAAGGCCCAGCAGAGGTTGTACTTCTTTCGCCAGCTGAGGAAGTTCAACCTGCCACAGGAGCTGCTGAAACAGTTCTACTCCGCCATCATTGAATCCGTCCTCTGCACTTCAATAACTGTCTGGTTCAGCTCAGCTACCAAATCTGACCTCAGAAGACTTCAGAGGGTAGTCCGGACTGCTGAGCGAATCATTGGTATAACCCTCCCTTCTCTCCAAGAACTGTACTCATCCAGAGTGAGCAAAAGGGCTGGCAGAATCACTCTGGACCCCTCACATCCAGCACACTCCCTCTTTGAACTGTTGCCATCTGGTCGACGCTACAGAGCTCTGAGCACCAAAACGGCCAGACACAGGAACAGTTTCTTCCCTCAGGCCATCCATCTCATGAACACTTAACAATAACTGTGTAACACACACTATTTATTCACTCATACACTTATTTATCTAACACTCATACTCAGTCTACATTTCAATTTGCACATAATATACCTGTACATACAACTGTCTATTGTAATATACCTGCACATACAATTGTCGAATTATATATTGTTATTCCTTATTTACGTGTTCTATTTACTTTATTATCTGTTTTTCTTCTGTCACTGTCATTCTGTTGCACTGTAAAAGCTTCTGTCACGAAAACAAATTCCTCGTATGTGAAAACATATCTGGCAATAAAGCTCATTCTGATATTTCTCTTTTAAGATAAAATAAAAGCTCTTTATATACACAGATATTTCACAACATCTGAGCAGCTTACTAAAAACACGGAAACATTCGTGTTGGTGAAGTTAAACATCCATGTCCAGTTCTTACTGATTTATGAAATAATAACAGGCTTTTGTGAGGAGTTTGGCAAATGATAGCATTTTACCTCTGACATGAGAAAAACATTCACATGGGAAAAAAGGTATCATTGAAGTCCCTAAATCCTATCGAGCATAAGATAATATATAGAATAATAGAGTATAAAACAAAAGACAAATTCACAAGAGAACAAAAGTGTTTCCAAACGTAGAGGCAAATCATCTCTATTATATACTTTATTATATAAACACATCATTGATACAATTAAATGGTATAAAAATAAATGAATAAATAAAAATTCACACAAACAATTCATGAACAGAACTGAGACAAAAAAATCCCCTAGACTATATAAACAGCACCTTATGAAATATCACAAACTGGTTACAATTTCAGGCAAGATGATATTACAACCCCATTGTGACTCACATAAAAGTAAAATAAAGCAATGTTTCACTTGTGCAAATTCCAGCAGTACCAGTGTTGCCAGATCGGGTGGATTTCTGTCCCATCGGGTGGATGTGAATTTGATTGCGTGTCAAAACTGATTTGGGTGGGTGGACAAAACTTGTGATAATTTCAGCAGTTTTCAAACTTCTACATTTACCGGCTAATTTGATTCACGAGTGCCATGTTTTTAGTGTGTGAAGGGATCAGATTTTGAACTTGTAGATGTACATTCAAGTGACTGCAATGCCAAAGAGGCATAAAAATAAGTTGCAGCTACAGTAAAGACTGGGCGAGTGACTCGATTCGGAAACTGTGGACTCTTCTGTTTGAAGATAAAGTGCAACACAAAGGTAAGTGCATTATCAACCTTGTTCAGTTTTTGAGCACGAATGACACATTTTTGGCTGTTATGGTGTGTGTGAGAGTGTGAGATGGGTGTATTACTCTCATCCCAAAAGGTTTGTTTGTTACAGTCCTTACCCCAGGTTAGCGTTCTTATTTGCATATTTGAGTTGTCAGTGTCATTGGCTGCGTTTACACTTGGCATTAACATGCGATCACCACGATCCGATAGAGCAGATTGGCTCATCAGTCAATCAGGACACGGCACATTTACACTTGGCAAAATCAACTGACTTCTCTATCTGGATAACCGATCGGATCTCTTTCCCGCACAATATTTAAATAAGTCTGCAGAGAATTGCCCGGGCGGGGTTTTGCGTGATGTCCTCCTGCGAACAGATCCGATCACAATGCGTCCTCGACTACCTCTGGACCAGGAAACGCTGATCGGGTAACATTCTGATCAGAAGTGCGTTTACACTTGTCTTTTCAAAGTGTATGTGGACAACATCCGGATTCAGGTCGCATGTTAATGCCAAGTGTAAACGCAGCCATTGATTGGATGAACACAGCATGTGACTTGTGTGCATAACAGATCTAGCATTGCACATCATCATCTTATGGACATGTTCCAGAGTGGATTTGTAATACTTCTAAAACCGCATTGTTTCTCACTTCACAAGTTGACAATATGTAGTAAAAGGCAGTCAAATACATTTCCAGGTCATAATGGCCGTCTCGGCGAGGTATTTATGTAAACAGTCAGCTAAAGAGGATGTAAACTGATGGGACAAAATAAGGGACATGTTAAGTACATCAGTGCAAATGACAAGAAATGACTGTTTAACTGCTCTTGTTCTGGATCACTGCAGCACCTTTAATAAACCTCTAAATACTAGGGATGGGAAGATTCACAGATTCGCTCAGTGCAGCGGCATAAAAAGTTGATGCGATGCATCGGTTTAAAAAAGTGTGTATCGGATACAAGTTGGCATTTATATCGCGATGCATCTTTTCTAACCTATTTGCATCGATACATTTTTTTATTTATATATAATTACTAATGGATGCTATACTTTGTTTAGAAAAGTGTTTAGAAAGTGACCTGTGAGCAATATTTTATATGTAGACTGATTTCTCCTCTCTAAACTGTTTCTTAAGCGCATGCTCTCATCACTGCTTCTGCGTGAATATGATGCATCACAACACTACAGAGACCTGAGGAAAAGCGGGGATTAAAGTCCGTAATGTCGATCAGGGATCAAAGCGATCCACCATCAAATATATCTGTGCTGTTTAATGCATTTGAGATGCTGTGTTTTCCTCCGTGCATAACTGACATGTCACAGGTATATTCTTCATCTCTAAATGTTAGAAAGTCATGCAAATATATCTATTTTGCGGTCAGGATTGGGCGAGGCTTACGCGAGTGAACGAACGCTGCTGCGAGCTAAACAGATGGAGCGCAATAGAATAATAGCTCAATAATTCTGAGTAAAATATGCATTCTGCTAAAATATTTGTTGTTGGACATTAAATATCCCTTTTGTAGAATTTTAAACCTATACATAAATGTATTTTTATTATAGCAGGGAGTATTGTAATGAGTAAATAAAATGTAAGCTACTACAGTAGTCTAGTAAAATTACTAAGCTCAAATGAGTTGATGTGTGTTTCTTATAGCAGTTAATATTTATTATTTTTCCTTATTTATTGCCATTTTTAATTGAGTGATTTTAATGCTTTAAAGAGCAATGTTAGATTGTAATGTTCTAATGTTCTGCTATCTGTTCTAACTATAAAAGTTACAGCTGTGATAGAACCAGAGAGAAAGGCTGCATGGCTTTATTATGTGAGAGTCAGTGGTAATATCATTGTGTTTCTATTGGTCAGTGTTAGAGGAGCTCAGCTTAGTCTGACAGTTAGCCTGCTCCTGACCAGGCTAGTTTCCCAGCATAAGTTGCCACAGTGACTGCGCTTGAAGTATGTTAAATTTGCTTTATGAAACCAAATCATTTGGCAATGAGTCAGACTAACTGAAATAAGCCTGGCTTATTTGGTAAACTTGAAACAGGCCTCGAGGCGTTAGAAGACACTTAAGTTAATTTATGATCTGCTGTCTGTCTGAACCAGAGAAATAAAAGCAATCACATTTTCTCCATTGCATCGTATTGCATCGAATCGCATCGTGTTGAATCGAATCGAAATCGGATCGCACTGCATCGTAACGGGAGAATCTCAGCACAGCGCATCGGTAGCTGCTTCATGTGTCTCTTCAATGTATCGTATCATTGGCAATGCATCGAGATGCGTATCGCATCGGCCTCAGTTACGAGATGCACATCTCTACTTAATACTGAAAAACTTCTAGCACTTGCTGGTCTGCTGCTGGTAACGTGTTGTTTTGTTTCTTAGTTTATTGCTGGTTTACTGCTTAACTGGCTTTCACTACAAATAAAATAATAAATAATGTTACAGTGGTGTTTCAGTGTCAGTCTTTTCCTGGGACGCTCCATTAGCAGCAGCCTCGGTCGGACTAACGAATGAGTATTTCATAAGATCAGTCTGTGTAAAAAAAAACACAAAAAAAACACAGCGGGTAAGAGAAATGAACAGGATTGATGATTTAGTTAAACAAAGACAAAAAACTAAAGACTGGAGTTGTGTTTGAGGAATTTAGGTTTATATTACCTTATTATTTTGCTTCGCCGTGCTGCCTGTTTGAACAATAAGGACAAACTCAGTTACACACAAAGATGGCTTTGGCAAATTAGAATAAAAATACATATCTTCACATCTTGCACACACACTGAATCTATTATTTCCATCTTGTTCAATCAGCTGTATGTAATACTCACTTTTCCTTTGCTTACGGTAGTAAATGACAGCAGCAGCAGCAGCCACGAGCAGAATAACTGCAGCAGCACATACTCCTGCTACAGCAGCTGAAGACCAAGCTGAACCTGGAACCATACAGTCATATCAGTTTCACTGAGATTTCTGGAATAACTACAGCAGCACATACTCCTGCTACAGCAGCTGAAGACCAAGCTGAACCTGGAACCATACAGTCATATCAGTTTTACTGAGATTTCTGGAATAACTACAGCAGCACATACTCCTGCTACAGCATCTGAAGACCAACCTGAACCTGAAACCATACAGTCATAACAGTTTCACTGAGATTTCTGGAATAACTACAGCAGCACATACTCCTGCTACAGCATCTGAAGACCAACCTGAACCTGGAACCATACCTACAGAAGCACATACTCCTGCTACAGCATCTGAAGACCAAGCTGAACCTGGAACCATACAGTCATATCAGTTTTACTGAGATTTCTGGAATAACTACAGCAGCGCATACTCCTGCTACAGCATCTGAAGACCAACCTGAACCTGAAACCATAGTCATATCAGTTTTACTGAGATTTCTGGAATTACTACAGCAGCACATACTCCTGCTACAACAGCTGAAGACCAACCTGAACCTGAAAACATACAGTCATAACAGTTTCACTGAGATTTCTGGAATAACTACAGCAGCACATACTCCTGCTACAGCAGCTGAAGACCAAGCTGAACCTGGAACCATACAGTCATATCAGTTTCACTGAGATTTCTGGAATAACTACAGCAGCACATACTCCTGCTACAGCAGCTGAAGACCAAGCTGAACCTGGAACCATACAGTCATATCAGTTTCACTGAGATTTCTGGAATAACTACAGCAGCACATACTCCTGCTACAGCAGCTGAAGACCAAGCTGAACCTGGAACCATACAGTCATATCAGTTTTACTGAGATTTCTGGAATAACTACAGTAGCACATACTTCTGCTACAGCATCTGAAGACCAACCTGAACCTGGAACCATACAGTCATATCAGTTTTACTGAGATTTCTGGAAGAACTACAGCACATACTCCTGCTACAGCAGCCGAAGACCAACCTGAACCTGGAACCATACAGTCATATCATTTTTACTGAGATTTCTGGAATAACTACAGCAGCACATACTCCTGCTACAGCAGCTGAAGACCAACCTGAACCTGGAACCATACAGTCATATCAGTTTTACTGAGATTTCTGACTGATGTGTGCAGCTTTCTGCTTTGTTAATCAGTTGTGTACTACAGATTTAACTGATAAATTATGGTTTTAGAAGAACAGGAACTAAAATAACATCAGGAAACATCGCTGCTTACAGGAAAACTTCCTGCATTGTGCAGGTTAATAAGATTAATTAAAATGTTACTCAAACCAGCCCTCCCTGTGTTTAATTTGCACTGAATGAGACTCACCAGTGACAGAAACACTGAAACTCTTCATCCTTCTAACACTGAAGCTGCTGCTGCTGATCATCTGTAGTTGATGAAGTCCAGAGTCTGTGGTTCTGGTGTCTGTGATGGTCAGAGATCCGGTCTTATTCTCCAGCTGCAGTCTGTCTCTGAATCTCTCTTCAGCATCTGTGCAGGTCTTACTGGGATGTGCATTAATTTCAGCGATGCAGACGGCATTAAAAAGCCACGTCATCAAGTCATTTGGCTTTTTTATTACACCAGGATGTAAAGTGACAGATTCTCCCTCCTTCACAGACTTCACATCATCTAGTTTCACAGCAGGAGCATCTGAAACACAAACCAACAGCTGCTGGAGGATCTTTTCCTGATAATAACAAGCAAACTCCACAACATGTGCAGATATGAAAACAATTACACACTGAAGATCTCTTTATATGATCAACAGATTTCATTTAACTGACAAAAACAACCGCCGTTTTCCGTTTTGGTCAAAAACTGCACTGTAAACACTAGGGCTGCAAAACGATTAATCGCGATTAGTCGCATTCAAAATAAAAGTTTTTGTTTACATTAGGAGTGTAACGGTTGGCAAAATTCACGGTTCGGTTCGATATGATACAGCAAAAAGAATGAAATGTCAGAGAAATTTCCTTGATTTTTAAAACATTTTTTAATCAAAACTAATCTTTTACTCTGAACAATGATGGAGCTATACTTGACCCATCTTCTGGGGTGTCTTCTTAGCAGCATATAAAACAAAAACAGCATTCCAGCTGATCTAGCCTATTGTCATGTAGCAGATTAATATTTTCCAATAAGTTTAACCTTTTATGGGCATTTTTACCTTTATAAAGCCATTTTTTTCTAAAAGTGTGCATCACCTTTTGAGTCTTTTTTTTTTTTAAGTCAATAAGACATTTGGGCTGTTACCAAGCAAATGAAGTCCGTTTTGACAAAACTCATCTTTGCAATGCAGAGGAAACACAGAAGTTGCATCTGAAGAGGCATTTAGATGCTTTTACACACTGTTTAATGCAGCTCAGAGGGACAAGATGTAATGCTTTAACCTGCAGTTACAAATGCATAAATAATATTTTGATATTTTAAACATAAAACGTTGGCAACTGATGTTTGAAATTAATTAAAAAATGAAAAGAAACTTTAAATGTGAAATTAAAACCGCCAGTGGGTGGCAGCAAGTCACTGTTAACAAGTGAGTCATTGCAATTGAACCGAATCCTTTAAACAGTTGATTCATTCAGGAACGAATCACTGTCAAGTTGTTCAGAGACATGAAACAGCGCTGTGGCTGGGTTTGGAATGACTTTTGTTGGCGAAATTGAGCAAAAAACAGGCAATATGGTGTCTAAAACGTAAGTCTAATAATTAACTTATTGCTTATTGAACTGTTGTAAAAATCATTTGTAATCATGCTGATTTTGGGAGAGAAAAAACGGCACTCTTCTGTGTTATTGATTAACTATATGAAATCATGTAAATTAGGGATGTCAACGATTAATCGATGATCGATTAATTGTCGATAAGAGATGCAGTCGATTAAAGCTATCGATGGTCGATTAAGTCGCTTAATTTTGGGCTGTGTGCGGCTCATGCACAAAACACGTGCGTGCGGCTGTGAGTGACGGTATATAAATGCATCATCATTCACTCATAATGTACAAAATAAGCTTTTAATGTGATTTAAACTTTAAAACTACATTAAAATAGAAACAACACAAAGTTCTTCAACATGGAAAGCATAGAAATGTAGTAACTAAGTAATTTCCCCAGATAATTGTTTCATATCGGGCTCTGCGCTTTGCAGGGCTGTGGGACACAGGACAGATAGGCTATTCATTCCTACAACTTGTTAATTCGTTCCTACGACTTATTAATTTGTGGCCACTGTCCATGTTTCATTAATTTTGTTCCTTAACCCATGATTTAACTAAAATGAGGGAACAAATTAATACATCGAATGAAATCTTTCATTTCCCTTAGATGCGAAATCAGTGATATAAAGTGAATGACAATAAAATAAACCTGCGAAATTAGAGGGTCAGATGGTGAGGATTTAGGAAAAGAAACAATGCCTAAATATTATTGAATTTGTGGAAATTCGTGACCACATAAATCTAGGCTATTATGGGCTGGAACGGCATCCAAAAGCACGGTCGCGATGTAAGATTTTCCAGCTAACCAATTATTCCTCTAATAAACAAAGCTTTTATACCACACTTGTCATAATCAGAGCTTATAATTTGTAAATAAATAATTACTGGATTCAAAACCGCAATTAAAAGGCGCTGTGACTGACACTTGCCAATACGTTTTCCCGGAGCTTTCAATGATGTCACTAAACGGTGATGCCACAACTACGAGCATCGTTCACGAGTTTCTGCAGGACCTAACTAGCCTAGGCACAGGTTTTCAAGCCCTGGGACAAAATGGGATGCTTTAAGGAAAATGTATAGCCTATGTAAGCAATAGGCCTACCGCAACGCAAAAATTCTAAATCTGACATTTTCCCGGAACAGGATCCAGCAGGATCAAATGAAGTCCTGGTCATAATACTCACATAATAATGTTTGATGTGAGCAACAGTGTGTTTTGCTGCAGCAGCGCCGATGGAAGCGGTTCACTGACTGTGCAGCACAGCCACACGCGCCACAGTTACGTTTGGGATCATTTTATTTTAAATGCCATAATGTCAGTTGAAAACATTGCAACACTCTTCTGTGTTATTGATTAACTATATGAAATCATGTAAATTAGGGATGTCAACGATTAATCGATGATCGATTAATTGTCGATAAGAGATGCAGTCGATTAAAGCTATCGATGGTCGATTAAGTCGCTTAATTTTGGGCTGTGTGCGGCTCATGCACAAAACACGTGCGTGCGGCTGTGAGTGACGGTATATAAATGCATCATCATTCACTCATAATGTACAAAATAAGCTTTTAATGTGATTTAAACTTTAAAACTACATTAAAATAGAAACAACACAAAGTTCTTCAACATGGAAAGCATAGAAATGTAGTAACTAAGTAATTTCCCCAGATAATTGTTTCATATCGGGCTCTGCGCTTTGCAGGGCTGTGGGACACAGGACAGATAGGCTATTCATTCCTACAACTTGTTAATTCGTTCCTACGACTTATTAATTTGTGGCCACTGTCCATGTTTCATTAATTTTGTTCCTTAACCCATGATTTAACTAAAATGAGGGAACAAATTAATACATCGAATGAAATCTTTCATTTCCCTTAGATGCGAAATCAGTGATATAAAGTGAATGACAATAAAATAAACCTGCGAAATTAGAGGGTCAGATGGTGAGGATTTAGGAAAAGAAACAATGCCTAAATATTATTGAATTTGTGGAAATTCGTGACCACATAAATCTAGGCTATTATGGGCTGGAACGGCATCCAAAAGCACGGTCGCGATGTAAGATTTTCCAGCTAACCAATTATTCCTCTAATAAACAAAGCTTTTATACCACACTTGTCATAATCAGAGCTTATAATTTGTAAATAAATAATTACTGGATTCAAAACCGCAATTAAAAGGCGCTGTGACTGACACTTGCCAATACGTTTTCCCGGAGCTTTCAATGATGTCACTAA